ATGAAGAATTTTGTCTAAAATGCTATTTCGCATAAATTGTTTCTTCATTACTGAGCTATTTTCATTCACACCTGGTGTCCCTTTTCGGGACTATCAATGGGAGCTCCCTTCCCCCCCCTCCAAAGGCGTGTTCAATCAGATGCCGTTAACATTTTGCTACCAATTGAAAATCATCGCTCAAACGATCAAAGAAAATATGATCCCTCCAAGTTTGCGAGTGGTCCAGAATTTCAGTATCTACAATCAAACCTGGTTTTCGCACTGTGTGCACCTTGCCGGCAAAAGCTGCAAGATTTTGGAAAAGCTATTGTATCCTCGGGTAGTAAATAGTAACATAAAAGTAAATGAGCTTACAAAGGATTAGACGCAATTTTTCTACTAGAATTTCATTGAAAATATGGAATGAATATCACCTGATTCATTATAGTTCGATTTTGCACTTCAGAAGAGGCACTTTCTTTGGTTACTGAGATCGGATCACCGAGATTTACTGAGGACCGATTGAATTCAAGGTTTTCCTTTTCCTTTCAAACGACCCAGTGAAATGGGTGTAAACAAGTTACCAGAAAAGCTTTGTTCCGGATGAATTGTTAATGAAGTTCATAAATTGAGCTATAGATAGAAAACGATGTCGAAACTGTGAAAAGTTTAGTAGCCTCGGTGGGATTCGAACCCACACATTGACGCTGCCTACTCTTTAGTACAGTGCACGTTCTACCAGCTGAGCTACGAGAACACAGTGACAGCGCTGATCTTTTCACATTCGAATCACCCATCCAACTTACAGAGGAAGCAAATGGCATCCACCAGGTAGCATGTACGCCGACTGGAAAGACCATTTCTGTCAGTGTGGCCTCTTAGCTCAACTGGTAGAGCGTGCGTTGTACAAAACCGTAAGCGTCGTCCATGTGTGGGTACGAATTCCACCGAGGCTACTGAACTTTTGACAATTTCAGCACAACACCAACCTGCCAAACAACCATTTGAAGGAATGGGATGGGAAATAGGATTCACTGGATTAAACACCAAATAAAAAGTCAAAAGGTGGGCTGTGAGGTTGAATGAAAGTTCGTTCATTCATGGATAGAACGAATAGGAATGAAAATAGAATAGCATACCGAAATTTGCCAGAATTGAATGATCCAACAAAGAGAACAAGAACGGCATTGTACTTCAACTGTTGACATGGCAAAGTTAATGGTTCGAGTCATCAACTTGGGAATCATGTATTTTTATTGCACCCATCAGACATGTGCTTTATTATAGGTTTCACCCTAAATTGACTCTTATCTCGTGGAGTCTCAGGGGTTAGAAGTCACGTAAGCTTTACACCTGAGATACACGGTCGACGGCCAAGACAACTCGAGAAAATGGCAACATTTTTAAGTTTCAATTTTGTTCTTAAATTGGTTCGTTCAATCGAACTGATAAACGTTATTGTGTTGCACATTGTTATCCATTTTGAAGTTGAAGGATATGCAATGAATATCAAACAGTGCATTTCGAAAACCGAAGAATTGGTACAGCTTAGTCAAGTAATATACATGTGAAGTGAAATCTGCTGCCAGATCTACACTCACTTTATAAAATGCACTGTTCGTGCAAGACAAACGGTCCTCCCTACCTGGGTTACGGTTCGTGCAGAAATTTGGAGAGGAAAATGCACACCTTTATACTTTAGTCTCTCTTCCTCATTCTAATTACTGATAGACCGGTCTCATGCAAGACAAGCTATGAAGTTCAGTTTGACCTGGACCGAGTTGGAGGCGATGGACTGTATGCATATATCGGATTAAATGGACGAACATTTTAGTCTCCGGGGTCTCTTATGATTTGAGTAACCTGGATTACTTGATTGGTGGTTATATAAAACAGAAACCAGTGACTTTGGATGAGTTGAAAAACAAGAATAGTATGTTATGCCAATGGATTCCAACTTCTAACCCGAAGCCGTGCAAAAGAACTTGATTTGAAAGATGCAGTTTCATTGAGTACAATAACTTGGTGTTTTTAAACGTCCTTTGTGTCCTTCCGAAGCAGAGGCGATCGTTTGGCATCAGAATAACTCTGTACAGGACCTGAGAACGACTATACGGCATCGTTTCAGGGTAATAAATTTTGATTAATCCTCTCTATTTGATTGTTTTTTGTCAACATTTTTGAACTGATGGAGGTGGATCAAATTTCGGAATCGAATACGTAGTCCCGATTTGTACCGTGCCAAAGTTTGTGCATGAGAATAAAGCGAACTGAAGAAGCGAGACGTTAGTATATGGTCCTGTGGGTGTTAGAGAAGAAAGAATTGACGGAAAGCGTGTCGAGAGCTCCATTTTCTCTCTTGTACCCTTAAAGCTTGCTTCTTACGGATAATTGAAAGGATAAGCATCAAAGTGCTCATTACAATGAGTCTGATTGATTAAATTGTCGAACATTGTGGGAACACCCAGTGGAATCAACACGATTTTGTGCGACATAGTGCTTTGAAAATACTAAATTAACAACAATGTTTCACAGAGCTCGTATTTTAAACCAAGGATTCTCGTTGTTGGCTGTGCCTAATCCGTTCTATTCACAGTCCTTTGCAAGCTTGAATTTGTACGGCAGTTATTGATGACATCTCTGCATCTGGTAAACAACCGGTTGAGAATTATTTGCATCAAGCCTGAATCGGAACGTAAAATTCAAGTGTGCCTTTCAGCTTGTGGATATCATGATGATGACTGCCTTCGCGTTATATTCACCACCAAGCGGTGTCGGTGAGAAGTTAATATCTTGTGAGTTGTGCACTAGAGAAGGGGTGAAAGCGACACAGAAATCGACACCAACGACCTGTCTGTAACTTTTAATTACTATTTATGTCTGCAGTAGTAAAACTGAGAATTCGACTTGATGGGCTCTTAGATAATTCAGCTATTTGGTGGGCAAGTTCTCCGGATGTACCCCTACAAAAAGATACACATTTCTGTTGCATACGCCTAAATTCAGACTGCGTATCAAAAAGATCACGGTACAACAATCTTTATAAAAAAATGTTCCATCATTTTCTTGGGGGCATGGTACTGTTAGGTTGCTCAGGCTGAATTAGGAGAAGTGTCTTAGGAAGTTCACAACCGGAGTCTCCGGGTAATCAAATCCTGACCCGCAACGCAGTGGAGCGGTGTGCGAAAACCGTAAACCATTTAGAACCGGTGGTTCATTGACCCAGTTATAGCACAGGAAAACACCTATGCCGCGAGAAGACAGTACGATGGGTTTTCTCAGCTTAGCTATTTGAGACGCTTTTTTGTGTCGCAAAGTGCAACTGAGGTGTGATCAACGACAACCAGAGACACCCACCCCCGACCATACTGAGGTTGACCTATATGTATGAATATATACATGTATATATTTGTATGTATATATACTTCCAGCGAATGTTTGATGACTTATTCTTCTTATAGTATTTAGGTGAAAAAGAAGCTGAAAATAGAAATGTCCTAATAATGGCCATAGATCCGTATTCTACTGGCAAGGACACCCAAAAGCAATGCTATACGCACATCTGGTAATTCTAATTGCTGAGACCCAACCACGTCGACACAGCTGTTCAATTCCGCCAAGATTTTCACTTCATTCTCAATTTTTCAAATATTTTAAGGTAAAGTGTTAAGTTGCTTCGACATGGATTGTCCAACAGCAGCCGCGTCTCTTCAACCCGCTAGAGGAGTTGGTACCTAACTCGTGCGAACGTCATTTGAATGCACGTGAAAATTTTGCACATANATCGACTCCACACATTCGCTGCACTAACTTCCTGTTGTTCCCATCCATCAACCAGATCCCAACACCGTTATGTTACCTCTCGAATAAACATATATCTTAAATCTACGGTACCCTGAATAGAAGATATTCTAGCTAACAAACAACAGGTTTTCACAGACTTTAGTACCATTTTGGAGATTTAGATCTCGTTTATTTTATCATTATCATTTTCTCCCTCTCTTCAACTTGTATATTCTAAACTGAAATCTAGGTTTTATGCCTACAGAAGTTATTATAATAGAAATAATAATCTGCTCTCCGTCTCTGTGCATAATGAATTCGATTTTGTTGCATAAGAAACCCTAAATTAGTAGACGGCTTTTCCAAAATCATATTCCACTCACAAACGCTCTCCAAGAGTTGTTGAAGAGTTAATTCCAATACATCACGTGCAAGACCATCATGAAAGTCCAGTGGGATGTGGTATTTGCTATTGATTTGTTAAAGCTAATCGTTATGGGAAGACAATTCAATCACCGTAGGAGTCCAGGACAAATAAATCTGTACTGATCGTCATTGAACAGGACACCACAATAAAGACTCTAGTCACAAGTTCATTTTAATATTTATACGAAACAGGTTTTATTTGATGGTTTCACAGTGACAAGCACTATCAAAATTCATCCAACCTAGAAATTCACTTTGTTTCAAATTTCACTGTTTGCATTAACCTCCTTCCACTGCCCAACAACTTCATGTTATCTTCGCTTTTCACGCGTGGCCCATCTGATTGGATCTATGATCTGTGTCCGGATTCTGATTCTGATTCTAGTCATGGAGTATTCACAGTTGTCCATCTCCGGCCGATATTACTATAGAGACGGTTTCATCTTGTTCCGACGTATCTTTAGCAGTACCGGTCCGGAGGAATTCGAAACCATGCAAAGCAAGATCTGTTGGACGGTAAGTCCTTTTCACATTGTACAGCAAGCATTATGCAGTTCATGACACAGAACTTGTAAATGATAAGGATTATTTTGGAGTGCATTGTGTAACTGAAGTCTTTCAAAGAATTCTCTTTTCGATTTTGAGACGATGGAGCCTCGAAGAAGAATTGAGATGATTCCATGTTAGGTGTTTTGAGTTAGATACGCCCAACCTCAGCCAACCGGAAACCAGGGCCGATTTTCAGTGTTCTATGATGAGTAGTATATGAATGACTGGACAAAATTTCCCTAAAGGCACATGACCTGTTTCGTGATCTTTGCCGATCGTCAGGTATGCATACCCGGTGGTCTTTTGTCTGGCCATTATTATACTTGTATTCCCGATGTGAATTCCCTTTTGAATTTATCGCAATGCATTATTTTCCCATATATTGTGCGAAGTGCGTTCCGTCTGAGCGCAACTTTTTCCACTAAATAAACCCCATAAATGAAGGAATGCGGAAGAAAGATCCAAACTAGAGGCATCTTATTGAAAATGCATTTAAAGCTAACAGTGTTGAAGAGGAGACCAAACAGGAAGCGTATTCCATTGTTTTATATTTCCCTGGAGGGGGGAGAGAATATCATTACCAATTAAAGCTGTGACAGATGAGGAGAGTCATTTGAACTGGTGAGTAACCGTTCCTGTTTGGGGCTTATGAGGAAGAACAGTGGTAGTTGAGAGACAGGAAAGGGTAACTCCGGTCGCACGGAAGTCGAAGCAGTAATGTTCCAAGGAGACTAAGGAGCAAAATCGTTGGCGATGAGCTAGTAACTAAAAATTACAGGTTTGCTAACGGTTATTTATGAAGCAAATATTATTAATTCAAACTGGATCAAAAAGAGGTGGAGAAATAGACGAACTCTGCTTTACACNACTATTCGAGTGTAGGGAATAGCTGAACTTGATACAGTGAGAGAAAATTAGCGGAATTGAAATACTTCAGACGTGGAAGAGAAAAACAACTTTACGCAGAGTACGAGAGGTAAGAGTAAATGAATTCAAGTGACTACAAAATTGGGACATATATTTATGATCGAAAGAACTTTTACGATAAAGATTCAAGTATAAGAGAAGGAGACGTACGAGAGAGGTATTAATGACATTATACTATACATGACCGCAATGGTCCTGAGAAGTATTGAGATCAGAGGGGAACTGAGAGCGTGGACAAAGTCGATTGTACAAATTAGCGTCATTGTCAGAAGCAAGAAATGCTGAGGAAACCATGTGATCGACGGAATGTTGTAAACGTTCTTGGAGAAAGTAGAGAATATTGGGGGTACATGTGCGGCCTCAGTTACAGAACAGAATTTCATCACATACACGCAAAAAATACTGATAAGTCTGATGCCCAGAAGATGAGCTTCATTGTAAGCCAAAAGTTATCCATTTAGTCAGAGGTTTTGTGCATCAGACACGAGTAAAAGCAGTTCAGTTACACTCAATGACCCCATTCAAATTATTCAACGGCTTTTAAATGCCGCTGACGGCGTGCCAAACTAACACAGGAAAATCCCTAGTAAATTATTGAGGTTGAAAGTCGTAATGATATTCACTAAACAGTTTACCCGGCTCTAAATGATGGCAGAATTAATAAGTATTGACTGATCCATAACCCTTGATATAACCAGTGAGAGGGGTTTGGGAATCACAGTTGTTTAAAATGGGTGGGATGGAGAGTGTAGCGGATGACAAGTTAGGAAAAAATTAGCCTTTCCAATGGATTGCATGCTAAAGCATCAGAAGGGTTGCCAATGGACGAGAGGTTGGGGACATGTTCGTCACACTTACTTTATCAACTGACCAGAACATTCAGATTCAAGAAGGAGAGGCTGACAAATGAACCTGTTTGCTTACAACATAACGATCCACAGCGTTTCGTATAGCAGCTCTTAGTCTATTGCCTACTTGTTGGAAGTACCGGCTCTGGAACAAGGGACTGGTGTGCAGTGCAAATTTCGTGATTGCCTCTTTTCGCGGTCCGCTTGAAAATAGGTTTTGTCTAACCACTGGGCGGAAAACCAGTTGTCGGCTTTGATTCGTTGTGGAATAATCAATTGCATGTTTGTACGAAAATGCGGATCAAACCTAAATCTGATTCAGACACATCAGTGGAAACGTAAAATTCATTTCAGGGCTAAAAACCCGAAACGTAACGGATGGTAAAGGTTTTCATATTATTTTTAACTTAGAGCCGAAAGCTAGTGCACACAATCATTTTGTTAAAATCCGATTTCATTTTCTTTCACATCAGGTTTTAAAAGTATGTACTTATCATTGTTTTTTAAATTGGAATACGAAAACACAGTTCTTAGTTTTACATTCTGATTTTGGGTTCACTTGTGCAACATGTGCTGCTGAGCGATTCTGTGAGGTATATTTTACGTCTTAGAGTATCAAGCTTGGATTAGCCCGTTCGATTGTTCGGAGAACCAGGCACTCCTGATAGTCCTGGATGTGGGTTTCATTCCAAACTTGATACTCCAAAATTGAATAAGCCATTCGCACTAGGCAATGACCGTCGACCGTATAGCTCGGGGGTAAGGTTTTGAAGTCAGTTCTGACAAGAACATAAAAGTACGCACTGCTGACGAGTCCTAAACAAGACGAAATAGCTGACCAGTGCACTGTGTAAGTCATCACATTTTATTTTACCTTTACTAAAGTTAAGAAATTTTAACCACAATAATCACCTTTAACGCAATGCGCCCATATTCCCTCTTTGAAACCACCAACCAACAAGAAAATGTATTATGCTTCCCTTCGCACCCGCCCTACCTCCGCTGTCCCGGAAGTTGCTAGTACCTCGACGTTTACCAACAGGAACGAAAATGCCGGACTGTTGAAATAATTATACCACCAGAAGAAAAGACTCGCCTCCCCCCGCCCCACATGGGAGGTTAATTCAAATAAAGCTAGTTCGTTTTATGTGGGGTGCAATGTCATTCCAGATCATTTCACGGAGTTTGCTTGATATGGTCATTTGCCACCACTGGATAACTGCTTAAAACTTCTCCCCAAATAACTACTCAATCCGGACCTAAAGATTTGTACATGTTGAATGCGTTCGCGCGGAGAAACACATCAAGCACTCCGAAGCTGCTTAAATTCTGCCTCTTTGTCGTTCCACATGTAGTGAAGTAGAAGATGATTTCCTAGAGCTCCGTGTATGTATGATAATTACTTTCGAATTCCACAGATCAGTGTAAGCTCATTTTACTGCATCCTCAATGTTTGCATTGCCTATGTCCTCTCTCTCTTGCTGTCCCCATTCAGATGATGCAAGTACTGCACATTGCCGCATCCGACTATGTCACCGATTTTCACAACTGTTTTATCCAATTCAATGTGAATGACATCGTTGATCATGTGACTGGAACACCATTCGCGTCCGTTCAATTGGAATTGCATCTCATTCTGAATCATACCACTATCACTACCAATCACCACACCAGACACGATTTGGTATCGAAATTGACCGAGGTGTATCACCAGTTCAAATTGCCTATTTCCCAAGGGTACTATTTCGAAGACGGTGTCGGTTTTCAACGTAAGTCTCCTTACTATTGTATACCACAGACTTTTTGTCTTTTTGATCTACAGTGACATGTATATTGTCCCTCAGCGCGTTCCGCGTACAAACTTCAAATCTGCCAAACAACAATTTGAACGATTGAGCTGGCGTTCATATCCAATCACCTGTGATCAGTTTTGGCTCAGATGTAGCACTCAATAATCAGTACGTTACTCTTTGTGCTTATCGAGTTGAGTCTAGCTTAGATGTCTCGTGCAAATCGCATCGCTTCACCAGTCCACCAAATCAGCGTCCATCGGCAAGCTCGAAAAAATGCAAGAATGATGTATGCTCCGTTTCAACACAGAAAGAGTGTATTAAGAGAAGGGTTCAATCCGGCAGGGGATAGGACAAAAGTTGTTGTGATTTGTCAAATAATTGTATTCTATTGTGTATTGTGTATAACTTTTGCAAGCACTGGAGCGAAGAAAAGATTTTACAGATATGGGGACAGTTGATAATCCAACGTTAAGACAAAGTTCACTTATAATCTACTCTTTGATTATGAGTAGAAGAGCAAGATACGGTATGGGTGAATTGCGGGAAGCGTTAATTCGAGATTAAATTTGACGGAATTCGGAGCGTGTTCAATGATGGGAACAAAATCGTATCGGTTCTGTGTGCAATCCGTGGTCAGGATCTGTGAGAATTTCGCACAGGAAGTTACGTGATACTCTGAAAGCTGTACAACTAACAACTCATTCACAGGAATAGAACAGACATGACTAATAATGGTTAGACCGCGGTGTAAGTCTTTATAATTCTGTTTGAGTAAGCCAGGATAAAGAGAACCGGAGAATAGTAGAGAAAGATGGGGAAAACACACTGATAAATAAAGGTAGGGATAACTGACTGGGATGCGCGAAACTGCCTGACCTTTCGTATTTTAAATGATAGGCGCCGCAGTTTACCAATTAGGTTGTGGAAGTGGGTTGAACAACGAAGATTGCAATCTATGGTTACACCAAGGCATTTGACAAAGTTCACTCTGAATAAATTATTGGTATTAATCCCTGTTGGGTCTGTCGGATATGGAGAGCGAGCAAAACTATATAAACACTCAACACACTTACTGGGGTTTAGGGTTAGCCCGATGAGGAGGAGAATGACTGAATTTGATCAAGTTTCTCGGTGAAGGAGCTTAGATCGGAGTCGGAATAAATGGGTTGGCACAGAAAAACATCATCTCTATATTTCAAAATTTGTGTAGGAGAAATACAGAGAATATCATAAATATGAGTGGAAAAAAAGTATGGGGATAGCACAGCTCCATGAAGAATTCCGGAATTGTTGACCAAGTACGTAGAAGAAACCTTCCCCAATCTAGTGGTTCGTACTGTGTCCGTAAAAAGTGGAACAGCCAAGCTAACAATTGCTTGGGGCATTCAAACGATTCCAGTTTTTGTAACTACTTAGATCTAGGAATGGAATCAAATCAAAGAGTAGTCCAGAAAAAAGCACCAAACAGACCTACAAGAGCTGTTCAAAGACTTGGCGATGAAATGAATGAGGGTGGAGACCGCGGCGAAGGTGGATCTATTAGGCTTGTAAGCGAACTGAAACGGATCACTGAGAATGTTTATAGACTGCTGAAGGGGGTTGGGGATGGCCTTTTCAGTCAGTTTAAGAGCTGAAGATGTTAATGCTGTGGGGCAAAAACGTTTGTAGAGAATAGAAGATTTAGATGCTTTGTGGATTGGTATGATTGTGACCGACCTCCAACAGTCGGGGATAGTAGAAGTGTTAAGAGATTCACTGAAAATGAAGGTTATTGCCCCAGCTAGGGAAGAAACACCAAATTTGAAGAGGGCTGGGTGTAAGTCATCCGGGCCTGCAGCAGATGACAAATTGCAACTATTTAAAAGTTTTAACACATCATAATTTGATAATGGTTCCGCGTTATAAACATTTTGTGACGAGTAGGCAGGAAGAAGGTCCGATGACTGGCGCGGGAATGCGGTATTGAGGTCATCAGCATCCACATCCAGCTTCGACCGTACTTTCTTCCTTCCACAGAGAAGTCTTATACCTTGCCACAGGTGTTTGCTGTTTCCAGTCCTCAGAATTCGATCAGAAAATGATGCTTTCAACCCATTTACTTCAGTTTTGATAAGGGTGGACAAGTACCTAACAGTGGAAACATTATGATATATTTACGCAGATTTCTTTTGTCGTCGAACAGACTTTATTAAAGGAGAGTTTATCCTTACGTTGGACACATAGGCTTTGAATAGGGCATCAGGAATCATAAATGGCATCGATTGTTTGGGTGAATAGCGGAACACATGTGAATACAGAAGGAGATGATGAAAACCATGACGAGGTCTGTTTGAGAGATTCATTCAGGAGAGAAACACTTGTAGGTGGGAGGTTACGAAAACGAAATCTGATATGCTCAGATCGGGAGAAAGATTTGTATGCACTCTGTGAATAAACTTTAGGTTGAACTGAGAGTAAGCAATGGTCACTGGAGGAAATAGGTGCTTTTAGTGCTAAAGAAAAAAGAGTTGGGTGGTTGGTATTTACTCTGTCCAGTATAGAGTTACCTCTTGTGGGAGAGTGACAAAGATCTGTCATACCCAATAGTACTAGTATGGTTAAAGTCACCAACGATTATGTGCAGGTTAACATCTAAAAGTGAGTCAATAAAAGGCATGAACGAGTCCAAAAATGACGCACGATCGAACTGTGTACAGTAAGGCGCTATAAACAAGTTAGTCAAAATTGTGTGGGTGAAACGGGAAAATCTAGGGTGACACTGTATAGTAAGGCGTTTACTAACTTTTGAGCAGTACTTAAAAATAACATGAGACTTACCACACCAGGAAACGTTGACATATGTGACAACACTCCTTCGGCCTTTTCTCCTTTGGTTCCGCGATCCTGTCGGTGAACTTGAAAATCGTCTATCGGCAATATAAAGTCATCTATATCCTTATTGAACCAGGATTCTTGAACACACGCGTTCGTATGAATTTTTGATCGGGAAAAACCAGTTGAATTCGACATTTTGGGAAACAGAGACCGAGTGTTAGTCCTGACCAATGAGGGGAAAGTCATCTTTGACAGAGAGGTGCAATTAAGAACAACTTGCCATCCTTCACGCCTGCGTTTTTTGGTCCAGTATGGGTGGTGAGAAACTGGGGTCACACAAACCGCTGAACGATCTAAGCGTCATCCCGTGAGTAACGAAGACGCATAATATTGAGTGAAAATGTAAAAATTCCCAAATTGTGACGGAGAGCGTGTAACTGTAGCGCAGTCAATCAAAAGGCGCGCTGAGGCACACAAGAGCGGATTCAACCACAGCGTTTTATTCTCAATTCAAAGTGATGATTTTCCAATACAACTCAATTTAAGTTTCTCTGGTCAAATTCAAAATGATATAAATTAACAGGCGTGTGCGAGAACTGTATATAGTATGAGATGTTATGTACGAACTGTTTATCAAACGGTATCTAACCACCACCATCAATGAGCAACCACTTAAATTTGATTGAAAATGAATTCACTTGTAATCTAATCGTAGGTTTCGTCGGTGCTAGTATACTATTAATGAGTTTTCAAAGGTACTCCTTGTGATTTCAAAATATGCAAAATACCGAACCTGCAAAGTCTATTATGCAATGAACAGCTCCGTTGTACCTGAGAAAATCGTGTGCACTGCGCTTCCACCGGGCTTGTGTTCAATCACGAATCCCATCACAAGATACGGAGATAACACAGAGTGTGAAGTAATAATTGCGCAACACAACAAAAGACAACGACCATTTGCTCTCAACTTTGAACCTCCTCGGAAGTTGCTCAGACGCATTTCAGGTGTTTCATGCATGTCTAACAATCATTAGTGCAGCAGTCAATGTCGAACGATGCAGAGTATCACTCACCCGCTCCCTGAGTATCAGTATATCTATTTAAACAACCGTACTCTGATGACGGAATGGCATCCCATAGATGGTATTATGGTCCTTCGCAAACCAGTTTCGTTCCTTGAAAGTGCGAAAAACAAGGAAGTTTGGGATTGGAGAAAACCGCAGAACTGAACTCTGCACAAAATACCTCATAATCTAAAATGACTGATTACAAGTTTTTCATTCTATTCGTTCTGCAGATATAATTACTCCTAAACAATCCGCAACATGTGCGGCACTCACAGAACCTGATTACAACTTTATTTATCGAATGTCCACGACCGCACCATTCAGATACTTTAGACCTCAAATGACGCCAGCAGAGACTTGGTAAATTGATTGTCAGCCTCTGGGCTGACTGGAAAGAATAGCTTTCTCAAAACGGGCCGTCGGAAAGCAAACCAACGCGAAGGAGTGGGTTTCCATTTCAAATCACCTGTGCAAATATATCAAGTCAACTCAATTACAAATGGACCTTATGCCTCAATTTCTGTGGTAAAATAAAATTTAATTTATCACATTAAATTAAAGCGAGAAACGTTTGTCAGCTAATAACATCCCAATCTATCACATCTGTGATGTTTGGTTATAGTCTCTGAGGATGAATCCATACAGACAACCGAGAATCCAAACTCCACAGCTCAATCAGCA